GAGGGGGGGATAGGGGACATGTTGATTTGTGAATTAATAGCTTTTCTCTGCAGAATTGCAAATTCTTTTAAATGTCACTATGTTCACAGTGCGAGGAGCATCTGAAGCCACACTTAACAGACACACATTTCCGTGCACAGGTGTGTACACTGTAGATGCATGCATGCACAAATCTTAAAACAAACTCTTGCTCAACTCTCATTGAGGCCACCACAACCTCCTTATTCCCTCCTTCCGTCATAAAACCACTTTTTTCCCTCTCATTCTGCTGCTCCTTTATCTGTCTTTCACCTCCTCCCATCTTCACTCGAAGCCGTCCAATGTTACATGCTACTTTTAATTTGCAATAACACATGACGAGGACAGATTAATGGCTCTTATGGCACCTATGTCCCTGAAGCTCGTCTTACGAGGACCCGGTGTACATAACGCGTGTCACACTACATTATCTCTACAGCCCTCCAGTAATGGGGACCTTTTTCTTCCTCAAAGGGCAACCGCTGACTTCAGCCACACTGGGATTAAAGGCCACCACCATCATCACAACACCAGCAGTACAAGCACTGTGCAATGCTTTGTTTCATGTTGATTTTGGTCAAAGTATCACAATGTGGGCACAAACATGTGACGTTTAAAATCTTTGATTGGTTTACAGACATGCAACACTGTCCAGTGAGTCATTTGTAGAACATTTTAATTTATTAATTTACTTACTTATCTATTTACCCAGTTATGTATGCACTATATATGTATGTATTAATTCGATTACTTTGACTTGGTAACATTGCAGCAGGTAACTTTCTGCTGTGACGTATAGTCTTAACTAGCTCAGGCAGGTGGTCCGCCTGCAGTTTTGTTTTGTAAAATAACAGCAATGCTGCAATTATCTTAAAAAATGTGGACAATTGAAAATGACCATGAATAATTAATCACAAGTGGGTCTCCTGACATAACAGTCCAAATTAAGGCAAAATGCTAATTTTAGAATTATTAAAACAAATAAGTTTACAATAAACTGCATCTTGCTGTTTGAAATCCACAGATATCTTTACCTGGTAAAAATATTAAATCAGCAACACTGTACATTTCTGCATATTGACCTGCATGCAATTACATGGAAAATATGATTTTCCACAGTCACTTTAGCTTAATTCATTTTAATTTCTCAGGAGATTATTTATTGGAAAAATCTTCCCCGCCTCGTCCCCACAAACTCAGAACCCTGGAAGAGCAGAAACAGTAATTGAGAGGAAAGTATTGTGATCAGATTGATCAAAGCAAAAGAGAAGGTTGTCTAACTTCAACTTACAATGTCCTATTTTCCTTCCGTCCATGTGGTTGCCAGTCCAGAGAACTAAAGAGACAGAAACATAAAAATTGATGAGTGCTCTTTGAGATCATTTTCAACCATTTCATCCCATCAGCCACCTCAAAGCAGCACAACAGAATCACACATGTGCACACACACACACACACACACACACACACACAAACACACGCGCAGCCCCCTCCCTGCCTCCACCGGTCTGTTCCTACACCTGTTCAGGCCTCCACCGGGGACATGTTAATTCATAGGCATTAAAAAAGCCAATTGTTTGCAAAACCGATAATCTATTAGCCCTCAGGCAGTGTGTCCACTCTCTTGCCTTGCCTAGGAATGAGAAATTCTGGCTTAGACCGGATAGGCTTCCACTTAATCTTGGAGCATATCTAGGGCTATTTTCTTGCCCTATACACTAGTATACTGTCTTACAAAAATACTTTGTGATTGAATGTTTTACTGCTATTCAGAATAAAATATATTTCAGTAAAGAATGTATCTTTATAGTGCAGGATATTAAATGACTTGTATTTAACTGATAGTATCGAGGCCAAGGGGGATTAGAGTTGTATGACAGCTATATGGGATATCTACAGTACGTCTAAACATGGTATAAAATTGAGATGCAGCTCTGTAGGCGTATGGTAAGACGCAGGGCATCAAAAAGCTGATTGAATCGCAACACTCTCTCAACACCCGCCCTGCCTGATATACAACATAACAAGTCACTGGAGACAGCACATAGGAACACACTTGGCTGCAGCGCTGTCATAAATGCCATCTTCTTCACACACAGGAGGGAAAAAAAGTAGGAGACGAGTGATGGAGAGAATTAAAAGGATGGAAAACAAAGGGATCTTATGTGTCTCCCTTACCATCGTCTCGTTTCCTCTTCTCGCCGTTGGAGCGGGGGATACCCAGAATGCCGTTGATGGAGTAGGATCCTACGGGATCGTTGGAGGCGCTGGTCACAGGGGGCGAGGCTGTGCTGGGCACTGACAGAGAAAGCGGAGTTAGTGTTTGTACTGTACGCATGTGTCTCATTTGTGTGTTTATTCCAGTGCATGTGTATGTGAAAAGGCTTGTATGTGTTCAGGTTTAGGTGTTTATTTCCTGTTCCAGCAGCCCCGATGTCTGTGCGTAGCTTCAATTGCGCTTACCTATGGTGTGGCCGGGCGTGGACAGAGGCGTAACAGATCCGTCAGGGGACGGGTGGAATTGCTGCTGGACTTTGGTGCGGATAATCCTGGTAAAGTGAACAACAGACACGGATCAATCAATACTGCTTCCAGAGCATGGAGATTTCACACCAGCCCGCCATGCCCTGGGACACTCGAACACGGCACATCACGTCCACTTACGCCCATGAATGTACAAGTGCGCCATCGTATGGGGGCGCTTGTATCCTCATATTCGGGCCCCTGTCACAAATAGCCAATCTCAGGGCTTTAGGGGCAATCTCTCCTCTCCTGTGTGAGGCTGAATGGGGGCTGCCCCTGAGATTGTGGATTCAATCTAGCTGGATTCTGAGGTTAGAAATATGATAAAGTCCCCATACCCGTAAGATGTGATGTGGCGGGAAAGTCTTCATTGCACTTTGGTCTGAATGATCTTGCAAACAAAGCATGAAATCACATCAATTCACCTCAATGATCAGCTTCACTGGCTCTACCTGGCCAACTCTAATAATCTCCCTCTTCTGCTCCCCACTCTCTCTTCTCTCCTCGCTCTCCCTTTTCTCTCTCCATTGCTCAAACCTGATCTTTCACTCCGCTCTCTCCCAACCTCATCCTCTTTTCTCATTTCTACTCCGCTGTCCAATGTGCTCTCCGTTTTACTGTACTTTACAATGCCTGTGTTTCAAACCCCTCATCTCTGTCTTTCCTTCTTTCTGTCTTCACTCTTCTCCATTTAATTTCTTTATCCCCCCCCTCCTGTATTCTCTGTCACCTCTCCGGTGTCTGTTTTAGTTTTTGGTCTTTTTGTTGCTCAGTGTAGCACACAGGAATCCTCCAGGCTCACTGAGGATCAGAGCCCATTGATTGGGACTCCGGGATAGAAAAGTTGACGACAAATGGTGGAGAGGAACAGCAAATGCAAATGGTGATCTATAAATTATATGTGACAGGGAAGCAATAGTGTCTTTTTGGCCCAGCCCGAGACCACTGCCACAGACGATGTATTTTAATCTGTGGTGCACTCTGAAATACATAAGTAAAAAAAATAATTGTCACAATAATCTGAAATTTTTTAAAACAATTTTTACATTTGTAAAATTGAGTATTGTTGTAAAGGTACAGTGGAATATTGACAAGCTCAGATTTAGCTGTTATGGGACATGATCGCATTACATTAAACCATGACTATGGTAATCTTTTGATTGACAGACGAACGCAAGATCATTGAATAACAGGCAGCGTTGTGCACTGACAGAAATCCCACATGGAAGCCCTCTCACTCGAGAAGTGTGACAAAAACAGACTTTTACAGACTGCAGATGAGGCGAGCGACGTTCACATGCAGCATCCAGCAATGAGCTATCAATTCTGAATCAGGCAGCTATGGGGTTAACTTCCTCGGGGGCAAAAATGTACATCAGACTCTTTTCATTCCCCTCACTATCTCATGTGTCCTCCATACTCTCTCCTTCAGGCAGGGCAACAAAGGCTAGCAGCCTCCTTCAGAAAACACACATCAATATTTTATTTGAATTTCTAACATCTCACCACAACAGTTATCTGACCTCATGACTCAAGGGAGCCTCATAAATTCAAGGACTTTGTTTCAAGTCTATATTGTTGATATTGAATAAACAATTTGGATAGGTGAATTAACGACTTTGGTGTTTGGGTGTTGTAAAAAAGAAAAAGAAAATCCCAAAGAAAGATGTGGATCAATATGATTGAAAGTCGCTTAGGACCTTATGGGTACGCCTGTGTCCACTGGGCATGTTGCCTCTCTGCGGCAACAAAACAAAGTGCAACCCAGCCTCTGTGTAATCTTTAATAATTCATGCAGGAAAAATGTGTTTAAAGCCAGGACATCCTCTTAAGTCAACAGAGCAGAGGTCAGCCCCTTAACTACAGAGACCACCAGGGGTCCACTGTGCCTTTCTCTCCCCCTGCCTGCCTCCTCCTGTGCTTCTCATTCTCACTTTCTTCCTTGTCTTTACCAATCCTCCTTCAACAGCAACAGTGACAATCCAAAACAACTGTAGACATTAAAAAATAGCCTGAACATTATGGTTTACTATTCCTTGAGTGAAGGTTAGATTTTAGAAACATTTTTAAATACTCATAATTTTTTTGTATATGACGTAAAATAAATATCAATTAACCTTTTTTTCAATGCTAATATACATGGTGGGTTAATAATTCAAGAGCAAAAACCTGCTGCTTGTTATGTTGTGATTTGTGAGGCAATGTTTTAAGAATTTAAAATGCAGTTTTGTGCATTGCCACAAGCCCTGATGTTAATTATTAACGTGCAGGCTAACTTCGTTTCAAAGGAAAACATTTCTCCTAATAGTGCTGTTGCACACAGCTCAAACCCAGCAGCTGGTCAGAAATGTTTTCTAATTGTAAAACATTAAACCTTGCCTCCTCGCACCCTTAAATACATTTTCTTTTGGTTTTAGGAACAACAGGTGAAAGGCGCCAAAAGCCAAAACCTGTTGAAACCATAATTTCCATAACAGCCTGATTTTATATTTCTTTCTCTTCTTTTTTTAAATTTTTTTTAAAGATCCATACATCTCCTGCATTTAGCTGGATGTGCTATGAGACTCTCTTCAGCTCATTAAAATGTAATGCCGATGACCAGCTCTCTGGAACAGTGCCTCCTAACCAAAGTTCATCACTCGCATGGCTCTATGGGGCTTTTTTCACTTTGCACACATGCACTGGATCTTTTCACCGGCGTCTTCTGTCTAAAGATACTTTGTCCACGCTGTCCCGCTTCATGTGGAAAGGCAAAGGTGTAGGGTGTCTGCTGCTTTAGCTGCTTCAGTGGAACAGAAACTCTTTTATAGTCCATTTACCCACAGATCAACACTGTTTTAGACGAGGATTTATCTATGTCTATGCATTCTTCTTATACTCTAATAATACTCATGATACTTTTTATTTATAAGTATCACTAGAACAGTACAATGTAATTAAAATCGGAATCATTTAGAATTGTCCAACCAAGCCTAAATATGTGATGTGTTGTCGCTCCACATTCACCTCGGTGTTGGAAAACAGAGCAATTGGTTGGCAATAAAGAGGCTGCTGCCGCCTCTGTCGCAGTGTGGTCCGCGTATTGAACGACTTTGTTGGGTATTTCCTCCCGCCTCTGGATCTGGTTACGCGGTATTGATCGGTTTTTATCGAGACAGATGTGATTCTTCGTGGCCCCAGCCTCAGCTCCCGCGCTGGCTGTGTTGTAGGGCCGCACCGGAGATTGAATTGCACGAGTGAGACCACCCGGATAGACTCGACTGGGACTGACTCTATAGTTCAGTCTCCTATACGGTGAAATAGCTATCTGCTCATTTCAGAGATTATTTATCCAGTTTCTCATTTTATTGTATTTTTGTATTTGGCTCACTCCGACATTTTTGAATGCACACATTTGGAAAGAATTTCGGGGATAAATTATGCGTTTCGGCATGCTTTTAATGATTAAACAAAAAAAGGAAATCAGTTTTTTTCCACCTACCTGTTGATGGATGAAACGCTGGGGACTGTGTCGTTGTCGCAGACGCCCTCAGCCAGTAGTCGGTCCCTTATCTCCCAAGCGAACATGGTTGGATTCTGGCGCTTATAGTCAGCAATTTTATCCACCACTTTCGGAGTCGCAACCTTTGGTTTGGAGCCACCAATGACTCCGGGTTTAATACTGCCGGTTTCATAGTACCTGCATGGGGACAGAGTGAGCGTTCCTGAATGGATCCCTCCTTAATTCAACAATCCAGTCTGATTGATGGGAAAGGTGGCTTAAATATCGTTTGTGTGTAAATAAATCTCCACCGACCTTCTGTTACATAGGGCAAATAAATACCTACAAATATGATGGCGGCTTTAATCTAATAATTGGTGTGGAAAGGTGCTGTTATATGGGCCTAATGGAGTGTCAGCTGGAAGGTGAACAGAGCGGATTTTTTCCAACGAAAAGCAGTGTAATTAAAATCACACAATATAAGCAGTGAGACGGACAGAACAAAGGACAGTTTAGCTGTAAAAGCACAGTTTGGACCTCATTTCCAGTCTCCATGAGCTATACAGTATAGCATGCACGACATGCCACCATGACCTATTGGTAAATGTTGGTGACAAACATTCAGTGTGTGTGAAATGAAATACCTCTGAAATGCCTTCTGATAGCTGAAAAAAATATATTTCAAAATATTATCTCACAGCATTTGTGCTCTGAAGTAAAAAATGACGTAGATCTAATCGATCAGGTTTATAGTATATCTTTTACACTGATGGAAAATATAGGAACGTAAAGTGTGTATTTGTGGTATTTTTCTAAAAGATTTTGATACTCAAATGTGAGTTTATCATGGCCGTATAGATTGTGTGTTTTTTATATTCTAATTCGTGTATAGACTTGTTAAGTTACCTCGAGCTACTTTATACACTTAAATCACCTCCAGTCTCCTATAATATTAATACAGCCTCACATTCCTCTCAGATATTTTTTTATCCCCAATGCTTAGCTGTAAACTTTCCTCCGAAAATGTATTTCATGATTATGATACTTCTCTCTTGCAAGGCTGCAGGTGATGGATAGAAAATCTCGGACGCAGAACTGCTGTGTTCAAGCAAAAAAAAAAAAGATAAAGGAAGAAAAAAAAAAATGACCTGCCTATATAACCGATGGCTGAGGCTGAAATAGAGCTTGGTGCGCATATACGAGCTATAGAAGATTGATGTTTGACACACATAGGGCTCTGTTGGTCGCGGATCCCCCCTTTTACCTGCCGAGGATTTTGCTGACACAGCCGTGACTGACCCGTAGCTGTCTGGAGATGTCGCAGGGACGCACGCCCTGGTGGGCCAGCTCCACGATCCGCTGCCTCACCACGTCCGGGAGGGGTCTGCCGTTCACAAACACCCCGCCGAGCTGGTTCACACCGCCGTGCCCTGCGTGGGACACAACAGCAGCACAGGGGAGCATAACATTACATACCTGCAGAAGACACGGTCTCTCTTCATGTGGATTCATTTTGGTTTCTTTTATTTTTCTGGGATGTTTCATTTAGTTATTTTTTAGTCTAAAATTATAAAACATATTACCATACACACATACAGTATAATGGACATGCATATACACACATTTTAATTTTGGCCAATAATCTTTGTTTGTACATGAAATCTGTGGGATTTTAAATAATTCTAATAGTAACTATAATAATAATGGAAAAATAGTAACAGTAATAATAATAAGAATAATAAGAATAATAATAATAATGGTAGAAACTGAGAGAGAGTTAAATTCAACTACATTTACTTACACATATTACACAAAATATGAAATGAAACAAACAACATGTATAATTACATAATACATAAAATATACCTCACTGGCTCTTTTGATACCACTAAAATAAAAATAAAACTCCTCTCTCCCTGTACATTGGCAATAGGCAATATATTCCAAGAGCACCTCCTCCACTGCAGCCTAACACATGTCGCAGATATTGTGTTTCAACCTGTTTAATTTTCCTCGCACAATTATTGTAAATAATTAAAATGAGCTTTGATAACTCATATTACAAACGCGGATGGTGCGAATGAGGAGTAATAAATAATGTATAGCAGCCCGGGTCTTCTTTACCCCTATCGTATGGAGTAGAAAGCATGAAGAAAATTAACAGAGCAACTGTGTTAGTTTTATTCTTAACCACCTAAATCTAGAGTAAGAGATAGAGTGACACGTTTACATCCATTTACACACAACGTGCTCTTGTTTTAAAGACGCCTAACTGTAATTTCACAGGTAATAAAAGCTTTGTATTTAAATTGATGAGTTTCTAGTATGTCCCTTTAAAGTGAATGTTGCTCAAACCGGCTCACATTTCGTCCTTTTGATTCAACAAAAAAAAGCTTTACAAAACGAATACAAAAATAAAACTCTTCAGTGACCCACGTGCTCTTAAAATAAGCCAGACATGTTTGAAAACACTTTTCTCTGCGCCGTATTCCATAATGTATTACCAAACTTCAAGTATGCGTCAATACATCTATTTTTAAATAACTCGTCTAGCAAAAGTTGCTAATGTTTCAAAGGTTTTGGAAAATGACTTACGATACTAACATGTTCAATATTTGAGAGCTGTGTTCATCTTCAGTATAGTAATACAACGTTGCCAAATGGACTGAAAATGGAAAGAAAATAAAACAAATATATAGGCCTATTGGTTATAAAGCATCTCAAAACATTTCTAACTGCATGTTTTCTGTGTAAACTAGACCGCAGTCATTGAAAACACCTTCGACCGAATATGTGCAGGAATTAAACTCACAACACAGAAATGCTGCTGTCTGTAAACTAATTCTATACTCACGGTGCATCGCCGAGAAGGGGTCCGCTTTGCAGTGAATATCCATTGGATAGCAAAGGAAAGAAAGGTAATCGACTGAGGTCGCCGTTTCGCCTCTGTGATGCAGCTTTAAAGGTAAAAAAAAAAAAAAAAGAAGCAAGAATTTATAATTTGGCGTTTACAACAGTCCGTGTGCGAAGAGTCCGCAGCGGTGGACAACTTCTCGTGGCGATGCTAAGTTTTTCCTCCTGCTCAAGTCTAAACTCAAAAGTCTCGCAGAAGGGCGGTCAGGTGCAGAGCATGACCCAGGCGTGTGCAGAGCGCACCAGTCGCGGCAACATTGACTCAAACCGGGTCACTGTTTGCGTTTATAGGACATCATGAGGAAAACAAAAAAAGAGTAGCTGAAGTCTCCACGGGTCCGGCTCAGGAATCTGTGGCCGAAAAAGAATCCTTCTCCTCTGACGGAGTGGAGCGCAGGCAAGGCGGGCTGTGGTTTAATCAGATAGGGGCGGAGATGACAACAACATGGACACGGCGAAGTACAGAGCAGTGTGTCCCCCTCTCCTCCGGAATGGGCTGTGCCTGAGCGAAGCTTTGGGCTGAGAATGAAACCCCTCTCCTTGTGTGTCTGTTTCTAAAAGCTGCAGTCCCACAGATCACCCCCACCCCCTCCTCCTCTACCTCCATCCCACAGATCCCCTCGCATAGAGATGGATGACTTGTCAGACAAAGGCAATAGATTCCAACACTTTGTGATTCGCCCACGTAAAAACCTGCAGCTCAAATGAGGAGGTCCCTGCATCCGACAGCCAGGAAGGGGAGGTAGACGAAATGGGAAATGATGAGGCTTTCGGGTGAAGAATTAAGGAAATTAAAAGCAGGGGGTAGAAGAGAGGCAAAGCACTGTCAGGCATGTGTATGTTGTTTAAAAGCGACGCTTCTCAAATGTTTGCATGTGAAGGACTCCCAATAGAAACACATGATGAGACTGGGACTCACATGGGAATGCTTTTGTGGTTATTTTTAAAGTGATACTGTTGAGCCTAATTCAAGATATTTAAACAAATCGAGTCCATAGATTCTCTATTTTTTTCTTGCTATTTAAATATCAATATCATTGAACTAATCCTTCAACTGGCGGCCCAGTAACCCACTTAGCCTCTGGGTAAAATCTCAAATACCACAGTTAAGTCATCTTTTGCCAATATTACATTTTTGTAATAAATTCTCTTTTATGTTAGAAAACGTGTTGTGTTTTTACAGCAGCCTCTCATTGCACTATAGCTTCCTGTTCTTAAATCAACCAGAACAACGCTCTTTAACAAAGAAGTCTTTCCATGTTGTGAGTTCAGCATAACGATGCAAAACCAATTTCCAGTGACTAAAAAGCTGCCTCCGGTCCACCATGACTGCAGTTATCCGTGTGTGGTCAGACAGGATGTGCGCAAGGTGAGCTCGCAGCCTGCAGAGGGAAGAGTCAGTCAGTAGGCCACCATCATCATCATCATCATCATCATCATAATCATCATGCACTCACCGCCTGTGTGCAGCATCGCTCTGTAGATGGCGCTCACACAGTAGGTTACACAGCCCGCTGTGCTCACACAGGCAGCAGCAGCAGCAGCAAGCAGGCAGGTAGGCTGGTGCTGCTGGGGCTGGCCGGGTCAAAGGTTGGGGAGGGGGGGGGAACCTACTGTAGCTGTAGTATGCGCTCTTAAGCTCTTCCGGTAGAACTCAATCAAAACGGAAACAAAGAGAAAAACGCTCAACAATCAATGAAGATTCATAGATTTTAAAAGTGCACATTCTAATGGTTATAGCATGAGGTTACCACTAACGTCTGTACGTCTATAAGTGACTGCTGTTTAGCTAAATTAGCAGCAGTTTTCTCAGCATAATACTGTCAGATTGAGCTCTATGCACTGATGATATCACAGTGTTTCAATGTGGAGTTTTTTACTAAAGTTATCCAACGTGATGTATAAAACTACAATCTTCTTTCATTTACTTGGATGGAAGTATTTGTTGTTAAAAGACACAGCAGTATATTATTATTATTATTAATATTATTATTATTAATATTATACTAATCATATTAATAATCTGTTAATTAAAGGGTGTGTGGACTTCATGGCACAGGACTCCGTGTTGCGTCCAGCTGCCCTCTGGACAAGTTTGAGGACGATTCCTCTTATTGTTTCTGCTTTTTTTGGGGAGGGAGCTTCTGGTACAATATGTAGCACCATGGGCTGTAATTTCACACGTCAGTGCACTTTTGCCCTAAAGCTGCTGCTATTTCCCCCACAACACCCCGATTTGCCCCCCGTACCTCTCCTCTCCTCTCCTGCACTGCTACGATGACGTCCCCGTGTCAAAGTACTACAGAAAAACAAACGGCGTGATAATTAAGAAACTGTTAGTCCCGACTTCACCCCCTTTTAAAACCACATCCACCAAGAACCCAATGCGATTGTTGTTTTCGATTTTTTTTGTTGCCTGCATTGTATTAAAGAGCCTCGGCCCAGTTGTCACACACAATAAAATCAGTTTGCTGTAATATATTTCCGGCACTTCTAAACCTATGCTGTTTTTAATAGATAATAAGCCTGTGCTCTGATTCGTGTTTCCTTTAAAAAATTACATTTCTCATTGTAAATACGAAGTAATAAAATAAGGCCAAACTGATAATAATAATAATGATAATAATAATAATAATAATAATAAATAATAATTTGTTGTTGATATTTTAATAGCAATATTGAGGTGGGACAGAGCGGAGAAGAAGGGAGGGGAGGATGATGAATTTCCTCGGAGGACAAAACAAATCCTTTTCTTCCGTTTTTTGAGACATATGGCCTGTAACGTGCGTCCTCGTCAACAATCAATATTGCTGTTTGTTATCTTCCTGTTGTGTCTTTACTGCGTGTTTTAGACGATGCAGGGGCTCCCAGACATGTTCAGGGTCCCTGATCACCCACCTTCGCTGATTCAAAAAATAATTGGATATTTATTTGATCTGAAATAAATGTTTGTAGGAAGTTGCTGTTAGAGTGTAAAATAAAAGATAAATAGAAATTTGACATTTTGTTGCATTTTTACTGGCAATGACTTGGGATATTTTGAGGACCCCTAAGGTCTCCTGACCTCAGTTTGGGAGCCACTACAACACTGTATAGATTAAGTTCAAAGTTTGACTTGGAATGTGTAAAGCGTTTCGTCCTGTTCAAGCATGTGTGTATAGATGTTGGTTTGTTGTCATTTTATTGATAGATTCGTTCGCTTTTTTGAAAATATTAGCTATTTCAATCTGCACAAGATGACGCCCTTATAAACGCAACTCTCTCATTGAGGACACCCAGGTGTCTAAGAAAACGTACCTGCTGATGCATCTAAGTCTTTCACTCGCAACTCTTGTAATTAACAGCTACTTTTTTGAAAACTGTAATTCTGGATACAACTCCCTGTATATATTTTTTCCCTATTAACCAAAACACCCGCGTCATATCGGGAGTCACTTATAAAACCCCACAATGATTTGGTGTCTCCTGACACCAAAGCCATATGGGAAGGCTATGCCAAACTGCAGGATATCAGCTGCGTCCTTAGATTGCTTATTCATGTGCTTTATAACGGGAGCAGATGGATATCAATTTGACTCTATCCTCGACACCATCACAGATTGATTTTGTACTTGCTTTTAATTTTGCCATAATTAATTAGATCATTACAACTGTTTTCCATTGATCTTCCCATCTAAACCCAAAATTGAGAGGTGAATTAGATTGTGATCTATGTTTTTCAATTACAGCCCCAAGCTTAGCTGATGTTAATAGACTATTAAACAATTATTTGCAACAACGACAATAATAATAATTATAATAATAATTATATCAATCTTGAACTTAATTTCTGACATTGCACAATAGCAAAAAAAACGTGTAAATGCATGAAGTCACTGCGCCATGTGAAAGAAAAAGCACACTATGCTTTGTTTGATTTAAAGAAAATACAAAAATAAAATCCAGACGTGTAAGCAGGGAGCCTCCTCACAGTTTTGTCCCACACAGTGCAAACAACATACCTGCAAACAAACACTGGCATTAGTATGAGGCAGAGGGAGAAATCCTACCTGGTCGACCAGCGCTGTGAGGCATGGCTCTCCTCTTGTCTAATGGTGCGTCTCTCCGATGCAGCCCAGTAGATCTGTCCGGCCTCCTGCGCTCCCTCCCCGGCTGGGCGTCGTGCTTCTCCCCGCTGGTTGTCAGAATCTTTGACCGATCATCCAAAACTAAACGGTTTAGGCGACAACAAAAAGCGGAAACAACCCTGCTCCGACGAACTAGGAATTGATAAAGGAAGAAAAGCAAAATGGAAATCAAAGAACACATAGCGTTGCAGCTGCTGAATTAAAAGAACGTGTAGCCTACAACTTGCTTGTGTTTTAGTATTTTTAGTAGATTTTAGTATTGAAAAAGCTGAAGTAGTGTTGGACTCAGCACATCATATTTTGCATTCACTATGGATTTTTTATTTTTTTTAAACTTGATATCAAGTAGGCTACCTAATCTACTATTTCTTTGAAAAAGCTAAAGTTAATTTACAGGAAATGTATTGAGTTGGTTTGTGGTTGAGTATAGTGTTCCCAGTCTATTAAACACTTACATTTTGTTCAATATTATTAAAATATTATGAAATTATTAACGTCAATTTTTGTAACAGAAATAATACATGCATGGAAATCATCAGCAGACAGACGTCATGAAGTTTAGATGCCCAAAGATGTCCCATCATGAACACTGCCTTTTGTGACACCGAAAATCGATAATAATGATTTATTAAATCGAGATTCATTTAATTGTATGGTTAAGCTATGACACGTTCATGTGAAGACTAATGACAACACTGAATAATGGTTATCATTTAGAAAATTAGAAAGTCTCTCTCTCTCTCTCTCTCTCTCTCTCTCTTTCTCTCTCCCTTTCTGCACACACACACGCACACACACACACACACACACACACACACACACACACACACACACACACACACACAGAACAGTAGTGGTGGGGGCAGTGGGAAAAAGGAATACAGAATGCAAGAGTGACAATCCAGAAATCAATTAATACTTATTAATTAATTTTCAGATGTTAATTCAAGTGTACTTTGTCATAGCAGTCCGATCACATCTGTTATTCTGAGGTTCCACAGATGTTTATTTTTTCTGATCAAACACCTCGACCATTGGCTCTAAAACAGTTTTCTCAAAGGGCTCCTCTCAAGAGATTTAGTCCAGTCAGATATCACATATATAAAGATGAAACTTTCTCTATGTGTTTAACAGTGTGAGGGAATATCAAAAAAAAGTATAAGGGAGAGTATAAAACTTAGTAACTGGAACATTAACAGATGAATAACCAGTAAAAATGCAATATTACAATATCCACAAGAACGACAGAGCGTGGTAAAGCTATAAAATTCAACATTAAAAGATTATAGCTTCTCTATCGGCTATTTAACAAACATTTTGTATCATAAGACTCTTCACAGTGCTTGAAGTTCAGAAATGGTAATAAGGCTGCCACTGGACCAAGGACCAGTAATGGAT